TGGATAGAGCTTTTCATTGGCTATAGAAACTTTTTACAGCAGCAGAAAATATACTTTAAGTGGAATAATCAAAGGTTTATACAATGAAAAACTTATTTACTAACTAATAGTGATGAATATTACGTACAAAATGTCAAAATATTGTACTATTTCTCATGAATTGAAACAGTTAGAAAAAAATGTTGAAGCATTGATTACTATGAGATATTACTGTCATAATTCTACATAGATATGTACAGTTTCGATGAAAATACTGACAGTATGTCTATGTAAATTTTCAGTGAACACTTTATTGAAACAGTACATTTCTAATTTTATACTCTTTTCTTTGCTTATTTGTCTCTTTAATCTTAAAATTCCAACGGATATTATTCGGAATACAAACCTCCCATATTTGCCTACGTAATCACAAGTAAAAATAGTACCAATATGAATGATGTTTAATTGTATTTGATATGGAAACGTACTCATTGGCCTTTAATTCCGTTTACTAAGGACTAACAGAAGATGGGAAAGTTAAATTTCGACTTTTCGAAAATGTGTGTAAGCGTTACAAAAATCCTAACAGAATCAAAGATTATTGATTACCTATAATTTATATTTATTTTTTCATTGTATGTAGGATCCAAAAGTCTATATTGAAACAATTATTGATATTCATAAAAAATTTTTAAAACTTGTACAAGAATCTTTTAATGGTGAACAAGGTTTTACTGCTGCTCTTGATAAAGTAAATAATTTTAATTAAAAAAAAAATTTTTTCGTTTGTCTATTATTAAAAATTTTATAGGCTTGTGGTAAATTTATTAATAATAATATAGTAACACAAACAGCTGGTAGTACAACTAAATCACCTGAATTATTAGCTCGATATTGTGATGCATTACTTCGAAAAGGGTTTGTTTAAAAATGATATTTAAAATTTGATTGATTATTTTGCTTTTGTTTTATAGAAGTAAAGCTGTTGAAGAAACTGATCTTGAAGAAAAATTCAATCAAATTATGGTAAGTTTTTCATTTTTGTTTTGTTACTATCAAAAAATATTTGTTTTTGATAAATAATAAATCGATGAATTTTTTTTTTAGATTGTTTTTAATTATATTGAAGATAAAGATGTCTATCAAAAATTCTATGGAAAAATGTTAGCAAAACGTTTAGTAGGTCAATTAAGTGCTTCCGATGATTATGAAGAATCAATGATATCAAAATTAAAAGTAAATATATCATCTCTATATAACAGAATCTTTATTTTGTGAAATACGACGTAAAAAGAGTGTTGAAATATAAAGGTAGATATGTGAATATTCCAACGGACATAAAAGTTATACTTGAATTTGATTCAAAAAACACATAGGTAAATAAACTATTAAAACACAGATGCGTTTTTACTCGATTTCGGTCAATACAACTTTTTTCTCTTAGTCCTAGTATTGATCTCAACGACTCTTAGATTGAATAAAAAAGAAAAAAAATCTTTCTGTGATTAGTAATAACAGCTATGTCGCTGTTTCATAAAATTTCGTTCCATATGAATTGTATTAACTACTTTTATTTACAGCAAGCATGTGGCTTTGAATATACATCAAAATTACAACGAATGTTTCAAGATATTGGTGTGAGTAAAACCTTAATATGTGAATATGAAAAATATTGTCAAAATCATCACATAATTGATATAGGTAGAAATAAAAGAAAATTTTAAATAGAAAAAAAAAAAAGATTCGTTGAATTATTTTTAGTTGATTTTTCTGTAATGGTACTTAGTTCAAATTCATGGCCATTTTCTGGTTCATCAAATTTTATTATACCAATTGAAGTATAATTTAATGTTTTTGTTTTTTTGAAAACATATTTATTCTATATAAATGAATTATTTCATTTTAGTTAAAATCAACATTTGATAGTTTTACAGAATTTTATACTCATCGACATAATGGTCGAAAATTAACATGGCTTCATCAACATTCAAAAGGAGAATTACAAACATTTTTTACATCACAAAAATATATATTACAAGTAAGAATAAAGAATTTTATTGATAAGATTTAAAAATAAAAAAATGAATTTCTTATTTCAAAAGGTATCAACTTATCAAATGGTAATTTTATTATTATTTAATAAAGTATTGACATGGACAGTTGAACGACTTCAAGATGAAACACAAATTAAATCAGAATTATTATTGCAAGTTCTATTGGGTTTATTAAAAAATAAATTATTAATATGTACAGATATTACTGATGATGAATTAGATGAAGATTTTAAAGATACTGATATCAAAATGAATTATTCTATTCGTTTAGCAACTGATTTTAAAAGGTATATATATATATTCACTAATAAATTTTAGAAAACCTATACGAACTCATCAAAAACAATCGTTTTCTGATTGAAATTAAGATATACTTTCTTCATATCAAATTGAAATTATGAGAAAATTTTTGTATATTTTTAAAATAATCTTATTGATAAATGTTTTCTTTAGTAAAAAACTTCGAATAAATTTAAATGTTCCATTAAAATCAGTCGAACAAAAAGATATTGAAGGTGTTCATCGAACAATAGATGAAGATCGTAAAATGGTTATTCAAGCTGCTATTGTACGAATAATGAAAGCTCGACAAACATTAAAACATGCATTATTAATGCAAGAAGTTATTCAACAATTAAGTTCACGCTTTAGACCAAAAATTCCTGTTATCAAAGTAAAAATTAAAGATTTTTGTTTGAATAATAAGTAAAAAAACGATTTTCTTTCTTGTTTTAGAAATGTATTGATATATTAATTGAAAAAGAATATCTCGAACGTCAATCGAATGAAAAAGATATTTTACGTTATTTAGCATAAATATAATTATTGTCACATATATGTAAACAAATTTAAATTTTTTACACAGAATCTTTTCGTCTTTTCTTTTTTGTTATTCATTATTCAATGTGTATATCATTATATCTGTGTAGTTTACATAACCCTTGCATAAAACGAAAAAAAAAAGAACAAGCACTGCTACAAAATCTTATACTCATTATGAGTCGTCCATAACAGTTCGTTTTTCGAATAGCCATATATATGTAAATATATATATATATATATTAATGGGCTCAACTCTCTATGTTGTATAAATATGGCGTGTTATTTTCATTCTTTTTCTGTGGGCTGTAATATTTTATTTCTTTTTCTTTTTCTTTTGCTATCTTGCAGCTTAACACATATAAAAAAAATACTTAAAATTATATCCAAGATATTTTGTCTATGAATACTGTGAAAATGATTATTTTGATAATAATTTTAATTTCGATTGAATTATGTATAGAAATTAGACATTTGATATTTTAGAGTAGATCTAAAATCTGATTGCTTGCAGTTTAACACTGATGTGTCGAATTCTATAGTTGCAAATTTTCATAGTACTTTATTAATCTTTTGAACAAAAAATTAGTTGCTTTGTTTTTGATCTATGTAGAATGATGATGATGATGTTTACAATAATATGAAAAAAAAAATAAGAATAATCTTATATTACTGTTCAAGAATAAGAGTTGAATAACAATAAGGTATGAAAAGAAATTAAAATTGCGCACTTTCACTTTTACTTTCATAACAGACTGGTCTCGCATGAAAATTTAATGTTTTTCAATCAGTTATCACTATTAAAAAAATCACATATTACATCCTCCATCTAGCAAAGACATCATTACTGACCATTATTTAATGATTAGTTCATCTTATCATAGGTTTAGAATTGATAACCCTTTACGGCCGGCTACCAGAAGATAGCAAGCAAAAAATTCTCCTTCTATATATTCTTTGTCTCTTAGATGTGGAGGTTACCGAAATCCATCTTGGAGTTAAAAGAACTGATACTGAGCCGAATGCCAACATGTTGCCTTTTGGCAACAACCGGCCGCAAGGGTACAAAAAGTTGGGAATATTGAATTATTTTTCCTCGATAGAAGTCCAATAATTTGCTGTTGGTTTTAGTGCAGATTGTCAAACAAAAGCATACTCTGTTTATCTGCCTACCTCTTACAGCCTCAATGTGCAATATATTGCCAAAATACTCAAAAACTTTCTGAAATAGTGCAAATTTCACCTATTTTCCCTAGGGAAGCCCATGAATTTAGTAAGATTTTAACAAGACTAGTAATGTTTTATAGTAGTCTGAATAGGAATACTATGATGTACTGTAACTCTTGTTAGAATCTCGCTGAATTTGTGAGCTTCTCTGGGGAAAATAGGTGAAATGTGCACTATCTCGGAAAGTTTTTGAGTATTATGGGAATATATCGCACATTGAGGCTGTAAGAGGTGGGCAGATAAACAAAGTATGCTTTTGTTTGATAATCTGGACTAAAACTAACAGCAAATTATTGGACTTCCATCGAGGAAAAATAATTCAATATTCCCAACTTTTTGTACCCTTGCGGCCGGATGTTGCCAAAAGGCAACATTCTTGTACTCTATTCTTTGAGTAAACTGAATGATTCATCTTATCGATATAATAGATAATGGAACTGGAGAGGAAAATTAACCACTAGTTACTTCTCGCATCGAGTACTCGCATAAATGGAAAACAGATCATTTCGACTCGGGGGCTGTTTCGGGTGTCGACGGAAGAATTCATCCCTCTCGTCAATAATAGCTTTCTCCTTTCTTGAAAAGGCATAGGTTTGCGCTAAAATGCATGTAATTAATTATCAAATCGCTTAAGGAACTATATCTCATCACTTTAAGATAAATCCTAAGATGATATTGGCAAAATGTTGCCATTTGGCAACATCCGGCCGTAAAGGGATAAATACGAAAAAACTTTCACGAGAAATTTCTTAAAGAAAAATTGTTTTTTTTTCTGTTGCTTTGTTATTGCATAAAATGACACAAAAAAACACTATCATGGAGGCAGCGCAACATATATAACGAGAACTGAGAAAAAAAAATTCCAAGTAAAACTCCCGACGCATAGTGAGCAAGCGTCATTTGCAAAGTGCGTGAGTAAAAATGCAGTGTGAAAATTGTGAAACAAAACTACTATCCACTGATTATGCAGTAATTAATAATAATTATTATTGTTTAAATTGTCTTTCGACAAAGCAATCGTTATTTAATAACAAAAATTCATCGTCCAATCATCAGGTCGAACGATCTTCAAATCACAAAATTTCAACAAAACAGTGTCAAGTATGTTTTGATAATAAACCCGAACAAGATTTCAATATAAAATATAGTAGTCGATGTCATCACACTGAACGAACAATTTGTGATGATTGTCTTTATCAACATGTTAAACAAGCTTTTAATAAAATGTGTACAGATAATGTTCATTGTCCTGAATTATGCTGTGGTATTTATTTTAAATATCAAGCAGTTCAAAAAATATTATCCAATCATAAAGATAGAAGATTATTAGAGAAATATGAACGATTTATTCTTCATAGACAATTAGAGAAAATGCAAGAATTTATTTGGTGTGCACATGGATGTGGAATGGGACAATTAAATGAAGGTGGACATAGAAATAATATTGTTACATGTGTGAAATGTTATAAGAAAACATGTTTTACACATAAAACAGAATGGCATGAAGGACTAACATGTTCTGAGTAAGTTTTCAAAATCAATTGAATATCAAATTTAATTAATCATTTATAAATTTAATTTAGATATGATACTGTGAAAAATCCAGAACTTCAAGCTTCACAACGTTGGATCGTACAGAATTGTAAAAAATGTCTAAAATGTTCTTGCCGCATTGAAAAAGCAGATGGATGTGATCATATGACATGCGGCAAATGTCGTTATGAATTTTGTTGGTCATGTTTAGCTGATTACAATGCTATTCGGCGAGATGGAAATCATCGACATGATTCTAGTTGTAAACATTATGCACCATATCATAGTTAATAAAATAAAAATAGTCTCGTAACCGATATGTTTCTATTATATGACTGATTAAATAATTAAATATTGTGTTATGAGCAAGTAATTCATAGTTGAATAATTAATATCGATTTATAAAAGTATATGGTCTTTCATTTTATATTCAATGACTCAAGCTTGCTTTGATTAGATATTTAATTAAACCAAAAATTATTTACAACGCAAAAATGTATCCGCAGGAAAAATATTCTCTAGATTTTACTAGCGCAAAACTTAAAAGTTGATTGTTGTGTTGTCCGATACAAAGTTGACTCGTTTGGATTCATCTTTGAGACATCGTTTTCAATTTAAAAAGGGATACTAATTGGAGAAGTGCTTCAGCTGATTATTGGCTTTTCAGTTGAGACAACGTGTGTCATGTAGATCATAATGAATTATAAACATCTTAAAAAGAGTTCATGCCCTAAACTGATGCATTCTTATGTACTGCATTTTTGCGGTAATTTTCAAATCAAAGTCGTGTTTATCAAAAAATGAGATAAATATCATTATCATCACGTGATAGAAGGACCGAAATAGAAGCATAGCTGTTTGTTTTCTCTTTATGAATAGTCAGCTTTCAGAGATCACTCAAGCTTGATCACTGCTGTGATGAGAAACTAATGATTCTCCGCCGGCACTTTTCCAACGATTTAAATACTTCTCAAAAATATATTGAAACTGTCTTCTCAATTTCAAGAAATTATAATTTCGTTACGAAAGTTGACGGTTCTTTTGAGGATACCCTTGCTGCCTGTTTCATTAGTTTTAGAGAATAGGATAGTTTGAAAATGCGATGGAATCGCAGATATTTGATAATATCCTTCACTTGTTGTCATCTGTTATGATTCGCAGAAAAACCATAAACCTCGTACTTTCTTGCATAACCCCACGAAATAATCGAAATAAAAAAGAGCGAACAGCCAGATAAGATAAATTTCACCTGTGCTTACATTCTTTTTCATAGACCACGTGCACATCACTTCGTAATCTGCACGTATATTGATATGATATTTCTTCTTTTTTTTCGTTGACAAGCGTGCGTCGAGAAATTGCGGATCATTTTGATGGATCGATCAGACTCGTTGAGCATTGAAAATAAGATAACTTCGTTTGTTCTGCCATCACCACCCACCGGGAATGGTCGTCGTATTGAACTAGCAGGTGTTGATCTATGGCTGGACGCTCGAATCGACAATATTTTTGTCTATCCATCTGCATTGAATCTCGATCGATTCAAAGAAGCACTCGGTCATACTCTCTCTCGATGGCCTCTCGTTGCTGGTCATCTTCTCCTACTGGAAGATAATCGATATTTTATCGAAATGGCCGATCATGCAATTCCGATCTCTATGGTTGTCAATTATGACTTGTCTCAATGGCCATTCGACTCAAGTGTAGTGGTAGAGAAGGGCTCTTCGCTATTACAACCTTATTTCAGCTTTGTACAAACTCGAAAATTATTAGATTATTCGCCATATGAGCCTCTAGTGCAAATGAAAATTACACACATAATTCAGAGTGATGAATGGATTCTTGCTATCAGTTGGGCACATGTTTTAGGCGATGCCATTTCGTGTTTACAGTTTCTGAATACATTTTCGCGTCTTTATCAACATTTGGAACCGTGTAAACCAGATCCTATATTCGAGCGATACCTATGGCAGGAGAAAGACGTTGTTTCCTCAATTTTGCCCATGATGAATCTACTGGAAGATGCCTTACCACCAGAGAAACAAACAAGCGGCAATTTCATTGATCATCTAGAAAACTATGCTCAAATTAGTTTGCGCTTCTCCGGTGAGCAACTCGTGGAACTGCATAAAATCGTAGGTGAAACAAGTGTCACTATTCAGGATGCGCTCACAGCCTACATCATTGTTTTGCTGAATACTTTCTGTCTTGACAGTGATGACGAATGCATCAAACATACAAGTACCATAGTAAATTATCGAAGTGTCTCCGACTCAATTGCATCACTAGGTCAAGTAGCTAATGCGATTTTTCGCATGTTGTCAGAAGATTTCGATGATCCAAGATCGTTATCGAATGTGGCTCTGACGATTCGTCGTTCAATTCATCGATCACGTGAAATAGCTTTCCTGAAGTCGTATTTGGCCACAGCGGATAGTTTAATGAGACGAAACGCTCGAGAAAAACGTCAATATCGTATGACTCGTTATGCGAATGAGATTGTTGTCAATTCCAATATGAAATATGATTGGGCTGATGCCGTAGATTTTGGTTACAACAATCAATGTCGCTTCTACACGGCATGGACAGGACCATTTTATCTGCGTGTCTTTCGACTGAATCCCATCCACAATGGTCATCATTGGATAGAACGAGATCGTAAAGGCGCTGAAGTGGCTTTTTTGATTGAAAAGAACAAGAAAAGTCTCTTAATGACTGCTTGGCAATGTGACATTGATGAAAACTTTGCTCGATGGATACCATCAATAGATATCTTTTGATTGGAATATTCTTCTCGTTAGCTCTATTTTCAAGAATATTGTTTCTATTCACTTCCAGCAAACCGTAATACTTTTCACTTTGTATAAAACCAATTTTTTTTCGTTTCTCAAGCAGTTGGTGATGATTCGCTCGACACGTAAATCGGATGGCTATAACATGAAGGTTTGATATAGAGCTTGAGCCTTTCTCCTTCAGGATAATCACGCAAAGCATGCACAATAGATATGAAATATAGAGAAGCATGATGGGAAGCTGTGAATTCAATAAAGTTACATTTTCTGATGAGTGATCGATATTGAAGCCAACTCAAAAACGTTGTTAGGAGCTTTAAATTATTAGAGAAAAGAGAATATTGGCGAGTGTGAGTTTGTATTTCCATGACACTTACACGAGAAAGATACTCTTTATGTTTGAAACTTGAAATTCAACCTGTCAAGTTCAATATATAGGGGCATTAGATTAAATTCATTAGAGATGTTAATTATATATCATTACACAGTACCTAACCATACATTTCGGACCCTTTTGCCATAGCAATCAGTTGAGAAGTACATACAGAAGAGTACATGACGTTTACGTGATTTTTCGAAGAATCATTATGGTTCATTCTTAGACTGCATTCAGTCAGCAATGGCCTATTTTCTGTAGGATTCAATTCGTCATCAGATGATAGCCTGCACTGGCAACAATAAGTAAACATAAAATATTTCATTTGAAGCCTCCTAGCAAAGACCGAAAATCGAATTCTTCAGTTATTAATGTTCATATTTTACCATGTGACAAATATTATTGAACAAATTAAAAAATAAACTGTAGTTGTAATGATAACGCTTTCATAATGCATTATTACTTCGCATTTCTTTGTACAAAAAAAAGTAGTTTCAAAAACCGTTAGAAATTTTTGTGACTAAACACGAAATAATACTCATAAACGAAAAAAATCAAATCTAGAATACCATAAAATAAACATACATTTCAACAGAACAAGCATTTCAAAAACTTTCATCGATGTCAACCAAAATTATTACGTCTCTTCTTACATTACTGGTAGAACTCGTCTATCGAATTTTTGACCATCTTAATGATTTTATTATTTTATTCTTGACTAGATATGTTCGTACACGTATCAATGCAATCGTCAACAGTTTCACAAGACAAGAGACTCACGTAGGACGCAGCTCTAATATCGAAGAACAGTTATATATGAACATTATTTCTAAGAATAACATCAATAATATCTTTGCTAGGATGTTATTTGCTTTTTTATACTAAGTTGTGTTTTATAAATTGTTTAATAACAGAACAAGCAAGAAGATAGGAACAAATTATTGGTCAGATAATTATCAATGTTCGAAATAGGATGCAATAAACTTTGTTTGTTACTTTGTCAATCAGTTGAAATAAATGTTTTTCATGGAGAAGTGAACGATATTTCATATATTGAAACAAAATAGTCGATATCGAAGATGTCCAACAATAAGTGATGATAAATTGCTAATGACATTTTTCATACTCTTTTCGATGTAAAATGCTGAAATTTTTATCACAAATATAAATGTGTATAATAACGACCGTACATTTTTCATAGTTTCATCTCGCTAGCTAAAACTAATGCTGAAAAATATGAGTTTTCGTAATTTATTTTTGTGACATCTTTATTTCTTGACTAGTGATATTATAAACACCTTATGGAAAGAAACTTTACAAAGCAATTTTTATTCAAAAACATAAATTATAATAAAAGCCAATATGTATGAATATGTTCTCTATTATCTTCTATTACCAATAAAAATTACTAAGGTATTCCAAGCATAATTTTTGCACACAATAATATCTTGCAAAAACTCCTCCTATACTTTTGTAATTTCTTTTTTCTAATTTTAATGATGTATCAAACACTTTCCCAAACTTTTTCTGTCAATAAACTGTGCAGATTTTCCAGTCTTCATATATTGGCAACTTTAGCATCGTTATTCATTGTTTTTATACATTCATTAAATAAGTAGACCAATAACCGTGCGACTAATACTGTGTATTGTCTTCAGACGAATTGAACTCAATAGAATACACTTTAAGATTTTATCTGTTACCATAGCAGGTGAAATATTTAAGATAACATCTGTTATTAAATCAGAAAGATTCCAGATATAAATGCATTCATATTCAGTTAAAATAATTTTTAGTGGCTCTCTCACGATTAACTAACGAGGAACCCTTATCAAACTCGAAAATCACATTTGAATTCGAACTTTAGATTTACAATCGACCCAAATGAGGCATTAACAACCCAAAAAGAATAAGGGCAGCTGGAGCTTCTCTAAACAGTTATACAGCCGTTTTACTGACATTTTAGCCTGTAGCATGGTATGAAGAAAAAAGTTGAATGACAATATTTTAATTCGAAATTTCACCCATACAAAGACCTATTTTTAACCAGAATTTTTTTAAAAATTTCAGCTTAAAAAGTGTTCTCGTCACGAGGTATCGAGTTTTGAAAAACCATTCATATTCCATGAAAGATTCGAAAATCTCATACTTTTTGAGAATTAAATATCTTGTGAAAGGAACATTCTTTTGAAATGAACTTTTCAAAACGTTGTAGCTACAAATAGGCTTATGTATGAATACAATTTTAGACTAAAATATCGCCATGTGGTTCTTTTCTAGATGCCATGCAATTGGCTAAAATTTCAGTAAAACGGCCACATAACTTGCTAGGAAAGGCCTAGATGTCCTTATCTTTTTTAGGTTGTTAATACATTATTGAAGTCTACCTTACTCACAAAGTCCGAACTCAAAAGCTAATTTCAATTAAAGAAATTTTCTTCGTAAATAGTGAAAATATATTAACAAGTTGGAAAAACTATTTATTTCAATCTTGTTCATACATTTTGGTATTGGTTGTACTTAGAGAACTGAAACTTTGGAAAGTTAAAGATTTTCATTTGAGATATGTGTGAAACAAGCTTCAGCCTTCTACGCCGATAAAAAATATGAAAAATGCTATGTAGTATTCATCATCGCTTATTGTGAGACGCCCTTTATTTATTATAAGACAGTTCAAATCTCAGAGTTTTCAAGAGGCGGTTTAATAAAGAATTTTCAAAGCTTTGAAAATAGACAATTACTTTTGTAAAACATGATCTAAAAGAAGTGTTGAAGTATAAAGGTAAATGTTAGAATTCACGTCTCTCACATAGGCATGACAGACACCTTAGCAACGACTCTCTTTCATCAAAAACTATTACAGACGTTCAAGCAAGGCCGCACTTCACATCATAGACTGTGGCAAAGGTTGTTGAGATACATTCACAAACCTTAGATCAATAATTTCTTGCTATAATATATGAACTACTTTCTTATTGTATTTGTGAAGGATCTAGGAAAAAAATAGTGAAGAAATGTGTCTCAAAATAGGCAGGGTAAGCCAATATTCCTGTAATTTGTAACAGCAGTTACATTGCGTTTCACATGTTAATCCCATAGGGATTGCAGTAGCAGTTATTTTTAATGAATATTTCTACATCAATGATAAATTTAAAATACAAAATTGAAAAGGTATTAAGAAAATGTAATCTTTGAGAATGTGATCTTGATAATGATTTAATAGCAGTCGATTCATATTTTGGCGAATGAATATAAGCTACAACATAAATATATTGAGTAACAAAAAACCTAAAATGTTTTCACAATATGTAATTATTTATTCCAAATAGGTTTCTAAATAATGACAATTTACTTACAATGTGAGGTTTAATTATGTTCTCTTTTGTAGCAGACTATATGAATAATGTATCTTGTCATATGTAAATATTCTTTTCATGAAACAATATGAACCAAACATATGTTAAATCTAAACAGTATTTTCTTATTTTCTCGAGCACTATATAATAAAACTAAGTAATATGAAATACATCAACAAATCTTTCAATATTTCAAAGACAAGGAATGTTTCGAATATTAAGGATCAATTATTGACAATATTTGACTAATTTATATTTGAACAATCTGAGTGAAAAGATGTGTTATTCGTCTAACAATGCTCATATTGAAAAACTATTTTAACTCTAAGTATAACTATTTATTATACAAAGAAACTCATCTCAATAATCACATTGAAAAAAAAACGTTATTGAATAGAATTAAATGGTCTTTCAATATTATAAATGCAGATAAAACACAACGTTGAGTAAGAAATTAAAAAATAAGTTCACCAATGAAGTATTTTACATGCATTACAGCTTATAAGATCAAGAGTACGAAAACAGATTGCAGCAATTATCATCAGTTAAACAAGTTAATTCAACGAAAATGCAAACCTCCCATGACAAAAGTACCCTAAAGTGGAATTTGATGGGATGCTTTAAACATTTCAACAAATGCCAATAGCATATCGACCTGTCCACGTAAAACATGATTCCGTCACGCGTTATTTGTTTTATTTCATACAAATGACTCGATCTCTAGAATCCAATGCATGTGCAATCTTGGACAAAAAATTGTGCTTGTCAAAATGAGACACTGCAAGTTTGTCTGTAAATTCTCATTCATTACAAACGAGCGTGACGGAATCAACTCCCTCCGTGGACAAGTCGATATATACTATCAGAAATTGTCGTATGCACCCAGAATGCGATGAAATCATGCTGAATTTAAATCTAGGCACAAGAAAAAGTTGGACTTCTGTCTTTTTTTATCCTCATCTGCAACTCGCTATTTCATCTATAATTGACTAAAAATTGCCAGCTTGAAAGGTGCTTTGTTCTCACTTATTATTCGCAACTCGGTTGACTGTACTAGTCAATAGTATTCAAAATATGCTAGGTAGCATTTTTAAAAACCAAACCATAGTTCTGAATTCTATCAACTCAGCAATGTAGACACATATGCTGCTTTTGCTTAAACTATATCATGTGACTGAGGCATATGGGCACTTTTCAATTACACAACTATCGCATTTCACCATGGATTTATTCTATCAATAGGAATTATAGAAGAA